GTGTTATAATACCAAAAGGTTGGACTCACCTGCCAGTGTAGCATGGACAAAGGCCTTGAGATGTCAAAAATTATGGGGGTGCAGGGATCTTGGAGCGCCAGCTGCTGGGCGTGTGGCGCCGGTCTCCTGCGCGCACCTGGGGTACGGCGGGTCCGCACCTCGTCGTTGTGGGTCTCTGCTACCAGGGCTGGCCGGGTCAGGTTCCGTCCCAATCCACCGTGCACTCTCTCTCTAAGTTCGGGACCGTCAGCTGCCGGGTCACGAGGGGAGGTGCAGGACTGCGAAAGCTGGATTTCCGTGAGTCGGTTTACGAAGAGACAGCTCTCTCTGGAAAGGCAGGATCACACACAGAACTCAGCTCAGTCAGTGGTACAGCCCCTTTATTCAGTGACTTAGCTCGGCTCCAAGCCTTAGTGATCTAGCTCCGATTAATTAGGGGAAACCAGGATATTTTATACTGTGGGGGCAGTGGTAAAAGCCTTAATTGATAGGTACTTTTAGGATGCCTCATTTACATGTGGTGGTGGGCTCCTGCCAGGCTGCCAGACATTGTCTGAAAATCACACAGGAAAACCTGGCAGTTCCAGAGCCGGAGGCCATGGCTACTTCAAAAGATGAGTCAGGAAGATGCCGGGAAGGCACCCTGCTGATAAAAGGAGTCTCTGCATATGAAGCCGAGCCCATAGGCTATCCGGACATGGAGAGACTGCTACTTTACACAACAGGGGTCCCCAACAAAAAAATCACACCAAACATGAGAAACTGAAAGATCAGTGTGGCTGAAGTATGGAGAGCTAGGAGAATTGAGGTTTGGGTTGAAGACAGAAAGGTAGAGTCCTGGCCAAGCAGGAGTCTTGCCATTTTAACTACTTAAATGTAGCCTCAGAATAATACAAAACCACTGAAATGCTTGAAGAGGCCAGGGTGACAATGTTGTCTGCATTTTTGAATCAATCATTGTGGCTAGTATGTAAAAAACTGACCCAAAAGGCATTGGGGTACCAATGACTAGATTCTTTCAAAAGGCCAAGCAAGAAATCTTGCTAACTCTCATTAAGATACTGATGAGGACTTTCAGAAAAGTAGATAATTAGTTGAAAATAGTTTTATCTATGAGTGATACAAAACCAACATTATTACCTTAATCAAAATAAAAAGTTTATGTTTCATCTGAAAATCCAAATGTGGCAATGCAGATCCAATGCTATGTCCTATTGTGCAAGGGACCTGGACTCCTATTTGATTCCAGTATACAGGACCCTTGATTCCTAAGGTCTCTTCATGATCTAGCATGATTGATCCAGTTCCAACCATCATGTTTCTGTTCTTGCTATCATCAAGAAGAAAACGGAGGAAAAATGAGACAACTTGCATTTAAGGGGACTCTAGGGACATATCATATATTCCATTGACCATATAACTCAGCCTGTGGCCACGTTTAGCTTCAGAGAAGGCTGAAAAATTTGTCTTTGTTCAAGAAAGTCATGTGCTTGGTTGAAACTAGAGTTCAAATACTTATAAAAGGAGGCAAGGAGTTTAAAATAGAACAGAAATCTGACCTAGTTGAAGTGTATGGGACTTAACCACTGGACACTGGCATACAAGAAAAGCAGGAATTGAGGTTCTGGATTCTCCCACTAAAAGAATGTGCAAATGTTCTTTGCTGACATTAGATTCTCCATCTCCAGCCTGTCATTATTCACCCCTGTTCCTCTCCAAGCACAATTCTTAAACTGAATGAATTACCAGTCTTCTAAGTACAATGGAGATGGACGAAGGTTTATGAAGCCAATGACTTTGGGGAAGTCATTCTAACGGTGTGAACACAAATTACAATGACAGAATTAAATAAAAGGCCTTGGAAGGAGATCCTGAAAACTTAAGCTTCATTTGCATTAAGGTACTTCAAGTTGTACATTTACTTTAGCGTTGAGAAAAAGGTTGTAAGATGTCATGTATGTTTTTAGGTGTATCCTGATGCAAAAGAAGTTAAAGTATGTGTGATGGGGATGGGGAGTGTTGATCTTCATCTTGTTTTACTTATTTTTTTAGATGAGAACTTGTTCTGTTGCCCAGGCTGTCTTGAACTCTTGGGATCAAGCAATCCTTTTCCCCAGCTTCCCAGATAGCTAGGACTATTACCAAATAGGTAAGTACTACTGTGCCCACCTAAAGGAAAGGTTAATCTTAAAATTAGTGACAAACTATGTGCAGATCCCAGAGCTGACCATGCCTATGTTCTTCAGTTGCTAGGAATCCCTTATTTTTTTCTTTCCATTCCTCTTCCTCACCAACTTGTTGGTAAGCTTAAGGGTTAGGCTTAACTCTGAAGCCCCCTCTCTGAGAAGCCTTCCTGGGCACGTCCAATCCTCTACACAGTTATCTCTTTCATAACACCCAGTATATTTTGGAATGAGAACCCTCCAGGCTTGTGTGTCACACATTAATAAATGACAGTTCTTGAGTTGAGATTATTTGGCAACAATAAGTATACAGGGTAAAATGGTCTCTCAGGTCCCCAGGAAGAATGGCTCCTCTTTATGAGCTATAATTGATCTAATTATGTATATGTGTGTACATGTATGTGTTTGTGTGTGCAGGTGCATGCAGGGGTGAGGTGTAGGCACTAGTGTGTGTGTGTGTGTGTGTATGTGTGTGTGTGTGTGTATGTGTGTGTACTTGTAGAGACCAAAGGACAACGTAGGTGTCGGTCAACATCCATTACCTCCCTAGTGCTGGGATTACAAGCTTGTACCACTATACCTGGCTATGAACTCAGGCCCTCAAGTTTGCACAGGCCAACACTTTATGTTTGTTCTTGAAAAGTGCCCTACTAAATAGTATGGGGGTGAAGAGAGGATGATGGGAGCTTATATTTATCAACTAAAGATATCTTAATCTTTTTCTGGGGTGATGGCTCAGTGGGTAAAGTGCTTGCCTGTGCAAACTTGAGAACCTGAGTTCAGATCTTCAGAACCCCTATAAAAGCCAGACAAGGGACATGTCTGTAATCCCAGTGCTTCTATAGCAAGGAAGGAAGGAGAGACAGAAGAGTTGTTTGCTTTTCTTTCCTTCCCTCCCTCCCTGCCTCCCTTCCTCCCTCTCTCCCTCCTTTCTTTCTTCTTTTTGGATTCCTGACACCACAGTTCTATTCATCCTTGATAGTTATTTATGGATGTCCAAGGAGAAAGTCCCAACAGGAAATAAAAATATTTTAAAATGTTCTCATATTTCTTCTCCAAGTTGTCAACCCTTGCATTCATATGGTCCTTTTAGAAGAGCAAATTTATCTCAATTTTGGAATACCGATAGGAATATAATAAAAGTATCATAACCTTGAGTTTCAAACTTTGAAACAATAACTGCACCATGGAAATGAATGTGCACCTTGAGTGTGAAGTTATAGATGACAAAGACTGTGGAAAATCTTGTCTTACTTTGGCAGACAATAACAGCTAAACTCTTTATAGCCAGTTAAGCTTCCAAATCTCTATAGTGAAAAATCTCTCATGGTGGAGCTGGAGAGATGGCTCAACAGTTAAGAAAGAGCATTTACTGTTCTTGCAGGGAACTGGGATTCAGTCTCCAGCATCCACATGGTAGATAACAACCAACTGTAACTTCAGTTCCAGGGAATCAGAAGCTCTCTTCTGGCCTCTGCAGGATTTCACAAATGTAGTACACTTAACATATATACACCCAAAACCCTCATACACATAAAATATAAATAATTTAATTTAAAAAATCTCATGGTTTTAAATGTTCGGCTTCTGCTGTCTATACATACTAAGTAGAACGAGTCTTATCCAATGTAATAGCACTGACTACTAATGTGAAATTAGACCAAATGGAGGCCAATGACTACTAATGTGAAATTACACGGAACTGAGGGTGGGCATCTTCCCCACATTCCTCTGGATGGAGGTTCCCAGCTTCTGAGTCAAAGGAGGGTGGGACCTGGCCCACCTGAGTGCTCTCCCAAATGTCAATCTGTGGCCCAAAGCTCAAAATAGTCACCTAGAATAGTGGTCCTCACTTGTGGGTGATCCTACCCCTACCTCAGCATTAGGCAATGTTTAGAGACGTTTTTGTTGTTAGAAGCTGGGGAGAGGAGGTACTACTGGCATCTAAAGGGTAGAGGTCCAGAATGCTGCAGAACATAACTGCAATGCACAGTACCCCTTACCTACAACAAAGAATCACCAGACCTGATGTCAATATTGCTGAGGTTGGAAACCCTGACCCAAAAAATTTTTTACTCTTCACCATTTCTACCTTGATCTTAGCTGTGTCTTCCCTCAGATCACTATAATAATCTTCCAAATAATTTTCTTGTGTCTATTCTGCTCTCCATAGCCTTTTTATTATTTTATTTTAGACGTTTCTAAAAATTAATTTCAAAATAAGATTCATCCTGTTTGGTGTAAGTTTTATGAATTTTTTAAAAAATATTTTATTATTTTTATTTTATGTGTATGCGTGTATTGCCTGCATGTGTTATGCAATGCCTGTGGAGGTCAGAAGAGGCTGTGGGATCCCCTGGAACTGGAGTTATGGACAGTTTTTAGCTGCCATGTGGATGCTGGGATTGGAACCCAGGTCTTCTGCAAGAACAGCCAGTGTTCTTAACCGCTGAGCCATCTCTCCTGCCCAAGTTTTATGAATTTTAACAAATGTATTTAAGTCATGTAATTCGTCATAATTGGGACAGAAAAATGGCACCTCAGTTTTCAAAGTGCAATTTGGCAGTGGTTTGAAGGGAACACTGATCATTATTCATACTTTAGTATATAAATACTATTTGGAAAAGAAGCAGATTAACCAAATTTTGGAAAGCAGCTAGAGGTGCGGTTTGAAGGCAGTTGTAAGGAAAGAAGCTGTATCTAGATTTGAAGAGCATTAAATTTGGAAAGTAAGCTGTGATCCGCACAGATATTTGTCACTAAAATCATTGACGAGAGAGAGAGAGAGAGAGAGAGAGAGAGAGAGAGACTGGCCTTCGCGTTGCGATGAATTTTGGGCCGGGCATCTTGCCGTTTGCCGTCACGTGCCGGCTGCCGCGGCCTCGTCGCTGGGTGGGGGCGGCACATTCAGGCGACCGGGCAGGAAGGGAGGCGGCTGCCGAGCCATTCTTAAAGGGGCCTGAGAGACGGCTGCGGGCTGCTGACGGCCGGAAGGAAAATGGTGAGTGGCGGCGGAGGGCGGCACCGGAGGGCTGGGCTGGCCGCCGGCCTCTCCTAGTCTCCAGAGCTGCGGCGGCCGCCCGTGGGGTCGACGGTTGGGAACTTGGCCTCCGCCGTGGCGGCGTCCGAAGTCAGCATCCTCAGTGCGGCCGGGCTCACCCACCCCGGGGCCCGACCGAAACAGAGTCCACCGCGCGGGGTGGACGGCGTCTGGTCCACCGGGCCCCCCAGGCGACAGCTCCCCTGCGGCAGGCCGGGCCAGAGGGTCGGTGTTTGCAGCGGGCGCTGGGGCTCTGATTGCATTCTGGCCTTGCCCAGTCTTCCTTCTACTTCCCACCCCCGGCCCCCGGTACCCCTGAAGATGTCTCCTCATCCCGGCATTCTTCGGGTTGTGGTTGTTGAAAACCTTATGTCCCAAGGCGCTACCGTTTGGCCTTTAACTGTCAACGATTTATTTTTGCTGCATCTAGGGCTGTGGCTGCTATTCTGACGATGGATATAAAAAATATAAAAATAAAGTGGAGAATTAAGTCAGTTGTGATGAAGGGTCTTCAGGACTCTGCCCAAAATTCTTTTTAATAGGATCAAGTTTGATTGAAAACAAGAGAAAAACAGTGGTCTCCCGCTACCTCTTCACTTTTCATCTAGCAGCTGTCCCGGTCTTTGAACCCAGTGAACTCCGGAATTTTCAGCATTCTCGACCTTTGAGCCACATTCCAGGGTGTTGACACTCTGTCCTGTTGGAAGGCTTCTCCCGTGCTTCCTCCTGGTTTCTGGGATTCAAAACTCCTGGCTTTCCTACTGCGGCTGCTGATCCATCTGTTTCCCTTGCATTCCGTTTGCCTTTCCCTGGACAGTGCCCATCATGGAGAGCCCTAGGCTCCAACCTGATCCTTCATTTCTCTTCCCTTCACTCTTGTTTACAACCTATGCTCAGTTGTCTTGTGAATTTGTACCTCAGACCTGAGTTCATATACTTGGAAAATTTTTCACCACTTAAATGCCTCAGGGGCACATCAGTTTGTCCAAAAAGAACTCAGTTGTTTCCCCCTCAAATCTGATTTTTATTCAGTATTCTGTAACTTGGTGAAAGGTGCTATTAATTTCTCTTACACAAGCCAAAAGCCTCTAAGTTATCTTGGTAATCCCTTTATTCTTACCCAGTCCTCTTCCGCTATATCTAATCAGCCTAATTCTGTGTAGTGCTTAAAAGAGTGAACCTCCAAAGATCAGGCCACCTGGCTTGATTCCTGTATCCACTAGCTGTATGATTTGGATTTGGGGGAAGGTGTTAGTGATACTGTTTCAAGCATAAAGTAGGAATTGTGTGAAGGACATACACAGTGCTGCTCCTGCTTTTCAATGCATAGTGACCTGTTGGAATTTCTCACCTCTCTGTCTCTTCTCTTAGCCCCCAGCCACTCTCCATCCCGTCTGAACTAGTTTTGTGTTCATCCTGGCTCTTTGCCTGTTTCTTGTACAACACAACAAATACGATCTTATCAAAATGCAGATATGACCATGTTTGCCTTTCCCACACTTTCTTAAACATTTTTGTGGCTTCCCGTTGCCCATGGGATAGAAGCAGAAATATGACTTACCTAGTCTTGGACCACATCCCTGCTCCTTGTCTGTACCTGAGTCCCTCTGTCCTTTCATGATCTTGGCTACTATGCTTGGCTTTACTTCTTCACATGGGCAGTTTTAGTCCTGGTGGCTTTTACTGGCCTCCAGTGGCCTTGTTCTTCACCACTTGTCAGTTCTCGAAGCATCGTGTGGCTCTCCTTTCCAGCCTTTACCATACATAGGTATTAGTGTACAAATTTTTGCCTGGTCTTTTTGTTGTTGGTCTCTTCTCAACTAGACCATGAAGTAAGCTAGCAGTTATCACCATGTTGGCACTCATTAAATATTCATTTGTTGAATAAACGAATAAGTGAACATGAGCTCAATTATCTCAAGTAACATTCACCATGTAGAATTGTTTTTATATAGCTTTTACTCATTCTTAAATGCTTCTAAGTGTAAGCAAGCGTAAGCATTGACTTGTCTGACTCCTTCCCGCCACTCCTTTTTTTTTTACAAAGAAAAAAAAAACCAACAGTTCCACCTTGTGGCATAGGCTTACCATCCTCCTGCCTCAGCCTCCCAAGTGCTGGAATTACAGATTGGTGCCATCACACCTAGTTTTCGGGTCTTCCTTGTCTGAAGGATTTTTGGCTTTGTTGTGCCTTTGGGAAGGTGAAAACAAAACTGTTACACATTCAATCAAAGCACACTTTTCATCGTTTTCCCTCATGCTGGAACCATGCTAGGCAAGTAAGTGCTTTATAGCAAAGTAAGTTAGCTTTTGCAACTTGACTCGTTCAAATCAACTACAAAAAAGATAACAATGAGGGAATTTCAACACTATTCAGATATTGGAGACTAGAATTCTTTTAATTCTTTTAATCCATTTTTTTAAAGGTAGAATAATGTTACTATGTTTATATTTCTCAGGACACATACTGTCAGTTAAATGATACACACTAAAATATTTCCAGGTGAAGTGACTTTTGTGGTCCTTGGGTACAGGTCCATTGGGATGTTGTTGAGGCTACTGGGGGAGGTGAAATAAAAATGATAGCTGAGTGATTGATATGAAGGGTTTCAGTGTTCCACTCTCTTCTGCATTTATGAACCAGGCTGGCCTCAAGCTCACAGAGACCTGCCTGCCTTTGCCTACCCAGTGGCGGGGTTAAAGGTACTACCACACTAGCCTGTTTTTTTAAGTTTTACATATTAAAAATGTTATAGCATGGCGTGGTGGCACACACTTGCCATCTAGACTACTGGGAAGGCTGAGGAGAGGAGGGTCACAAGTTTGAGCCATAGGATCACAAGTTAGGCAACATAAAAAACCCTTTGTCAAAAAACAAGCAGCTGGAACGTGGGGAGATGGTTTAGCAGGTAAAGTGGTTGCTGTACACGCATGAGGACCTGAGTTTGACTCCCCAGAATCCATGCAAAATCCAGGCACTGTAGCATGTGTCTGTAATCCCAGTGTTCCTACAGCCAGATGGAAGCAGAGACAGGCAGATCCCCAGAATCTCATGGCCAGCCAGGCTGGTGAACATAGTGACAAAACAACCAGGAGGCCCTGTTTCAAACAAAGTGGAAGGTGAACACCAATGCCTGACATTGCCCTCTGACCTCCACATGTACACCATGGCACATGCATGCTCACATTCACTCAAACGTATGTCCATGCACACATATCATACATAGGCACACATAGACATACCATTGCTGATGAAAACAACAAAACAGAAACAATTGGTATAATAATCCTAGCCTGTAATCCTAGCATTTAGGAGACTGAGGAAAGAGACTTGCAAGTTCAAGGCCAGCCTGAAGTACATAGTAAGCTTTAGGTCAGGCTGAGCTATGAAATGTAGCAAGACTATCTCAATCAATCAGTCAATCAATTTCTATTCTCATGTTTGTGGTAATATGTTGTACCACTAAAAGAAGAAAACTTGATTATTTCTTTGCCAGGTTTCTGAGGGAAGATTTGATTGTATTTCTTCATATTTTTAGGCAGTTTTTTGGCTCCTATATTTCGTCTGCTTTTGTTGTCACACGTACAGGGGCAGTGGGCTGAGCAGTAACTGGAGTACTACCTGCTCTTAGGAGCCCGTTTTATATCTTTGTAGTCAATTATGATATAAATTGTCATTTATTTTTATTGTTATGCTTTATTTTTATACTTCTGTTATTTTCCCCCAAATTTTGAAACCCCCCAAATAAAATGATTTTCCTGTTCTTGCACAGTGTGAAAAATCTGTGCTTGCCTTATTGAACAGCAGATGGTAATCCTTGACTTTTCCCATTTTCCTCCATTCCTCTCCATTTCTGATGAAATGCATGGTATTATGTGCTTGAGTTTTGAAACACTTATCAACCAAAGAGAAAGTTAAAGTGTACCTGACAGAAGGTGAGCAAAGGTGTATGACTAAACTGAAGATCCAAAGGTTAGGACACTACAAAGTTCTTTAACATATACAAATATTGAAGTCGTGGTGTTTTATATATATTTGTCCCCCTTTCTCTCTTGTAGAGTGAATCTTTGGTGGTTTGTGATGTTGCTGAAGATTTAGTGGAAAAGCTGAGAAAGTTTCGTTTTCGCAAAGAAACCAACAATGCTGCCATTATAAGTAAGCTAATATGGTTGCCTCAAAGTTATGTGGTCTTAGTTTTTGTCTTATAGCTCCATAGAATCAGCCAAGCTTTTAGAAAGTCACAGTGCCTCCACCTGTTATATCTCCCACCACCACCTTTCAAAACTGCTCTTGTTGCCATGGATAGCCCTCATGTTAGCTGCCTGGAAGCTCTGGAGACAGCTGTGGAGAAGCTGATTGTCATGGTCACTTGGAAATGCAGTTCCTGTGTGGGGTGACCCATCAGTCTTCATCCTTCCCAGAGTACTAAAAACTAACTTGGGCATTCATCCTCAAACAGAAACCTTTGCCCACATCTAGGTGTTAAAGTTCAGTATTGTATCCATAGTGACTTTGGGCCTTATTCCAATTCTAGACCCAAACTTTAGTTTTGTGATGAGTACTTGCTTGTTTTAATAAGTAATACTTAGTTTGTGGGTACTGATTTAGAAATATGAAGGAAGGTTGAGGGAGTGAAAATGTAAAACTATAGACCTTACTTAGCTGAAATGTATTAGACAGATGTGAATTAATCAGAGGTGGTGATACCTTCTCATGAATTCTGGTTCTTTTACAAATAAATACTGCAGTGTAGTCATATGGTTCTTAAGAATGAAACTATAACAGCATATTTACCACATAAGTTAAGGCTCTTGAAATCACAGTGCTTCACATAATTTACTGTGAGATTAGTACAAAACCAAACATGGTCAACCTTTTAGATTAGTAGAAAAGAATAAAGGCATAGATTATCTAAATTTACTTTGATTTCGCTTTGGATTGTGTCATTATATTAGAAAATATTTGAACGGAGGTGGCATTGGTAATTCACTTTCTGAGAATAACGTTACACCTTGAAATCCTAGCACTGGAGAAATTTGAGGTCTCAAGATTTTTCTACCTTAACCCCTGATTCACTGTTTTCTTGCAGTTCTAACCATGTTGCACACCGCCAGTCTCAGTCACAGTTACCATCTCAGACTCCTTATCTAGAAAGTTGCATTTGAATTATCCTGTTCTCCCTATATGCAGTACCTGTAAGGAGATGCTGCAAGTCCTAAATAAGCAAATTACATACTGGGAATTAGGGCTGAAAACTTATAGGCTGACTAGCTACTAGATCACAAACTAATACTTCAAATGAGTTTTATGCTTATATTTTTTGATGTCTTAATTTTAGTCCCTCTTTGTCCCTTCTCTCCCCCAGTAAAGGCTAAGGCTGTATGGGTTGGGTAAATCAGGGTCACATTAGAATCACAGTTCACTCATACTGTATTTTTATTTTAGTGAAGATTGACAAGGATAAACGCCTGGTGGTACTGGATGAGGAACTTGAGGTTTGTTCAATGAGCTATATATAATTTTCATAATTAAGCAATTACTGTTGTCCAAATGGTGCTGTTAGTTACATGCACTTCTAAAATGAATTATAGAACCCCTTATATGTACTGATTATGCATGAAAAGCATGGACTAATTATTGATTATACATTGTCTTACTAATTTAACTGCTTTGCTTAAAGCATTGAGAGCCAGGGTAAGTGGTAGAAGTTAGAGGTATGTGCCTAGTGAAAAATGAGTCAACTTTATAACAAATAAGCTTATCAGACAGGAATTTAAAGTCCTACCACTTGAGCATTTTGTTAATATGTAACTAGTTTAGAGTAGAAGTAAATTTTTTCCCTTGAAATCAGATGTTTCCTCTGAGGTGTTGCTTCTGTCACTCAATATTTCCTGACAATTGGAACATAAACACAGAGAGAACACTGTCTTTCAGCCCCATGTTTTGTTAATAAATAAGTAATTTTGAGCTATGTGATAATGGAGTCATAGCAGAATGGTCTCTTAGTGTATCTCCAAAGGCCTCGTGGGTAAGGAAGTGCTTCAAAGTTGCTTTTCTCTCTGGTGACAGGGCATTTCACCGGATGAACTTAAAGATGAGCTCCCTGAACGGCAACCTCGATATCCTTTTCTTAGTGCTTTGGAACAGTTTTTGTTAGTCATCAGCATTTTGTGTGCCCATTTGTTAAACTGTCAAAAGACATGTATGTGACATGAAACAGAAAGGGAAGGAAGAAGACCAAGGAAGGAGTAGGGAGGGGCAGATATGGCAGAGCACTAAATGTATGTATGAAAGTACCATAGTTAAACCCATTATTATGCTAACTAAAAAGTTAAGAATAAAAGACATGCCTTACATGTCATGATCACAACCCAATTAAAATACGTGTGCATGTATTGTACTAGGAAAATGGAAAGTTGTGTTTCGGTTGGCTAACTTTCTTTTTAAAATAATTCCTATTCTAATGTGCATACAATAAAAATTGAGAAAGAAGCTGGGTGTGGTGGTGCATGCCTTTAATCCCAGCACTCAGGAGGTAGAGGCAGGTGGATCTCTGTGAGTTTGAGGCCAGCCTGGTCTCCACAGAGAATCCAGGCCAGCTGGGGCTACAGGGAGACCCTGTCTCAAAAAGACTAAAAAAAAAAAAATTGAGAAAGAAAAAAGTCCATATTAAGGCCATACTTCAATGAGTTGCCTTCTGAGAGGATGCATGGCTTGTAATTTGCCTTTGGGGCCCATTTAGTGGAAAGATATCTAAGGTGTGGCCAAAATGAGTAAGGTGTGGCCAAAATGAGTAAGGTGCTAATTTGCCATTCAGTAGCTCTCCAGGTGTTGATAATTACCTGTCTCAGAGCAATAACTTTTGTTTCTTTAACTTGAGAAAAACCTTCATTGTCTATAGTTATAAATATCAACATGATGATGGAAGAGTTTCCTATCCTTTGTGCTTTATTTTCTCCAGTCCTGTTGGTAAGTGAATTTCTTTACTAATGTGTACTTGGCTCTGATCTAATTGAACCATGTTCTACTAGACAAATTTTCTATTTAGAAAGATGGTACCGTTGAATAACCAAAATTGAGATAGGTTTAATGTGTATGTGAACTTTGTGTAATCATGATATGTATTTTTTAAAATATAGTTACCAGAGATATGCCTATAATATTGAAGATGCTCCTTGAAGTAGGGCTGAACAGAGTTTTTAAGTGTCAAGGCTCTAAAAGTCAGGCTCTGTGGAGATCTAGAATCCCTTTTAATGATCTGTGGACTTAGAGCTGTGTGCCTTTGTGTAGGCAGTATGCATTATAAGACTCCCCCAGAATGTAGACATACACATTTAAACCAAAGTTTTTGTAAACTCAGTAGCAAGTGAAATCCTAGGTGTATCTTTTTAAAAGATAAAAATATGGTGGCGCATGCCTTTAATCCCAGCACTTGGGAGGCAGAGGCATGCGGATCTCTGTGAGTTCAAGGCCAGCCTGGTCTATATAGTGAGTTCTAGGACAGCTGGGACTACAGGGAGACCCAGTCTCAAAAAGATAAAAATAATGAAAACTCATTTCTGCATTAATCTCTTTTCTAGGATGTAAGCCTGAACAGCAGATGATGTATGCTGGGAGTAAGAATAAGTTAGTCCAAACAGCTGAACTAACCAAGGTAGTATTTCTATTTGATATGCTTATTGAGACTTTTTCCCTGTAGAATATAGAGCAATAGCTAATCGGTGTGGACATGTATTTTTTTTTTTCTTATGTAGCTGAAAGTTATTTAGACTGCAGTAGTAAATTAGCAATGCTTTTTTATTAGTTGGAAATATACTGCTAGTAATCTTTGACCCAAAATACGTTTTTAAAATAATTTAATTAGAAAAAATAACTTTGAAAAATGTGAGCAACTTCAGAAAAGCCACTGTAACCACTTATGATGGTATATGCCTACAATCCCAGAACGGGAGGCTGAGGCAGAAGCATCATGAGTTCAAGGCTACCCTTAGGAACATGATGAGACCTTGTCTCCATAAAACAAAAAAAAGTCACTGTGACAGCTAATTCTACTAAGTCTTTTATACTATCTGCATCCTAAAGTACTAGACTTGAGATATTACAATTTATACATTACTTTTATAACTTTTGTAATCTCACAGTCTCTGTATAGGAGCCTTGTGAGGTTGACGTTCATATTTTTATTCTGTAAATAAGAAAAGAGCTTTAAGGTTTGGCAAGCTGGTTCATCAGGTAAAGGTGTTTGTTGTCAAGCCTGATGACCAACCTGAGGTCAATCTGTGGGACCCACTTGGTGGAAGGAGAGAACCAACTCCTGAAAGTTGTCCTTTGACCTCCACATACATGCTGTGGTTCATACTCAGGTGCATGCATGTGTGCACATAGACAAATAAATGTAATTTTAAAAATAAAAATAAAGCAGGTTCAGAGGATGAATGACTTGCTCAGGATTATATATTAGTAAGACAGAGCTAAGATTCAAACTCACATCTGGCTCGAGTTCCTATCTGTTCTCCCACAATATCTCTCTCGCTGTAGCCCTTGTACTTTCTGGACTGTGTTCAGATTCTTGCTGGAGATTTGTAGTTGTGGACTTCTCTTCAGCCTTATCAAAACAGTCAGCCAGTGTTTCTCTTTGATAATCAGACTATGAGGATTGGCCTTACATTCCTCCAGCTCCTAACTAGGTTGATTTTAGATTTGTATGCTTGGGTGTTTCTTCCAGTGGGTAAGGTTCTATAGAACTGCTCTTTTAGCATATGTGTGCTATTTTAGAATTTGTACTTTTAAAAAAAGTTTTGGTTTTATACCATCTTAATTGCTATATTTTGGTGACTTGAGTATTTAGCATTTAAAAGAAGTATACTACTACCTAAAAGGTACATCTAAATTACACAGATTAAGTCATGACCAATATGAAGAAAGTGAATTTTGTATTTAATACTCAAATATGTAGGGATTTTTTTTGAGTGACAGAGAATAACTTAAAGGCTTATTTTTTTCCCTCCCTAAGGTATTTGAAATAAGAAACACTGAAGACCTAACTGAAGAATGGTTACGTGAAAAACTTGGATTTTTCCACTAATGTGAACTTCGGTATTTTTAAAGTATTTATGTATTAACCTGACCATACTGGAACCAGACATAAATACTTATTTATGCCTAAAAATGCACTGTTACTTACAGTTTGTTTCCTGCAGTAAAGAAAAACTCTTCATTTGTGCAAAGTTTGAACAAAGAGGAAATCATCTTCATAGTAATGAAACTTGTATAGTGTTTCCTTATATTTGTAATTGTTAGGTGGACTACTTTTCTCCAGAGACATTTTGCACTCTTGTGACTAATTTCTATAATTTATGGTTCAGAATTTGTTACTATTTACAGACACCATTGGAGAATGGATATTAGATTGTCATAGACAACAGTTGCCTCCTTTGACTGGATATTACAGTTTATAAATGGAAATAGCATATTATCACTTGTCACATCATTAAAGTTTATGTGGGGTTAAAGTCTTAAGGGACCCAATTTTGAGCCATGAATAGTGATTTAATATAACCTTCATTGAGTTTTTCATCAATTTTAATTCTCTCTTGGTTTCCTCTTTCTTTTCAATCAAGTGTAGAAGCTATATCAATCACTCATTCTTAGGGTCTGGGAGTTAGATTTTATGGTAGAGTTATGACTGTTAGGTTTTCTTCTTAATGGAAAATAGCATCTTAGTCTTAGAAACTGGTGAGTTGTAACAGCAAGGGCTTTATTCCTGATTATGTCATTGCTAGATCGTTTAGAATCTAGGTTGATAACACTTTATTTATAAAGTTCCTCCTAATGTTTTGTGAGCGCTAATTATTTTAAATGTGTTAATACTGTGCCTTTGATTTGTTAGCTTTAACATTACTTTAAGACTTTCACACTGCCAGTATTCTAGATTTGATGAAATTAATACTTTTTTAAAGGGTCCAAGTAAAACAATTTTCTAATGTGTATATCTGAAGTTTGTAATAAAGTCAACTTCTTCTTTTTAAAATTCCAACTATCTACTTGAACTGGTGAATATATATGGCAGGTGAGAGTTACAATTTGGGGTATATTTGCTATTAGTTTTGTGCCATATATAAGAATTATTTAAAACTTTGGTCACAGTTAATAACAGCACTTGAATAGAAGTCACATCTTTTATCCTAAAGGTCAAAAGAAATTCTAAACTGGACCCCTGAATGATTGACCAAGCCAGTCATGTTTGGTGGTGGCCTCATTGACAGGAAGTGAGAATTCTAATCTACTTACTTTTACTATGTTATACTTTAAAAGTAAACATGTAAGTGCTGAATATTAATTTGATTTTTTAAAGTATAAACTATAGAGGCTGATGAAATTTGTGGAGTGAATTCTTACATTAAGAATGTTGTCATCATTTCAAAACTATCAAAAGCATTTTTATGTTGGCATATTTTCCATTCATATATTCCTTGTATTTTTTTAGTGTTCTTTGCCAGCTTTAATAAAGAAGTAAAAATAGTTGGAATGTTCACAATATTGAATAGAGCATCTTTCTGGTCCCAAACACTGTCAGGAAGCAGTTGCTGGTCAGAGAATGAGGAAGTGCTAGAATAGGAATCTTTATTGCTTAATAGATGGAAAAGTTCCTGCATTGCAGTTTCTATAGCAAGAAAACTTCACCCAGGAAGTTTAAGAATTCTTTAAGCAGTTATTGTGATAGTGATTAGAGAATAACTCTTATAATCTCTGGAAATGCAAATGAAATCCAAGTGAGTAGAGAGTAGTTTTCATGTTTTTGAATGAAGACAATAGGGTTTTATTTCACTTGGTTTGTAGCAGTAAAGTAGCTCTATAAGAATGAACATTTTTAAATGAGGTTCCTTTTTTTATGTCTGCATAAAATTTACGCTTTTTGATTGTTTTAAAACTTCACAATCTTCCATAAGGTCAAAAGACACTGACCTGTCTGTACACGGAACCCTTCGTCTCTTCATTCTTCAGCAGGAGCAGAGATACGATAAAACTCTCACTTTTTAAAATAGCATGTCTGACTCCTCATCAATAACACGCATTTTGTAAGGCCGCAGTTCAACTAGGTTATGAATAGAACATTTTTTATTCTGTCCTACGGGAAGATTTGTAAATCTTGCACTCTAAAAGTGTTCCTCAATACATGTTGTTTCCCTTTAACTAAAATTTACATTCTTTTAATGTATTTTTCCTATTGAGTCTCTTTTTCTGCCTTTCCATAAGGAATATGTCCAGATTTCGTAGCTCCAGGTTTTACACTCCTTATCTTTCTGGTATACCATTCCCACTCAGCCTTAAATTTTAATCATTCCTTCTTGGCAGCAATTCTTTCCTGGGAACCTCTGTCTTTTTTCTAAGTCAGCATTAGTTTTGAAACTGCTGTTCTCACATAAGTTGTGCATAGCATCTAATGTCAAAATAGAACCAACTAGTAATCACAGTATGTATTTAGTATGGCTTTTGTGGTGACATAAGTGACATATAAAGAAAGCTGTTCTCAGGTTAATATGCTGAAATTCCAAAATGTCTGAGTTTGAGTAATAATCACTTTGTTCTGATATTGAAACAATTATGTTAGGCAAAAAGTTGGTTGACTGTTTTGTTTAATTGACTTCTAAAATACATGTTTGAATTGTCTATTTCTAAGAAGTTCACTAGATTCCTAGTGCATTTAAACATACTCTTATTTAAGAAGATGTTGCTAAATTTTTTATTGTCATTACTAAATAATCTGTGTAGCAAAACATCTGTCAGCGTTTCCTTCCCTTTTATCTCCTATTTTCAGGAGCCAGATGTTGCCATAACCTGTATCCTGGTCTGACACTGACTAACAGTTTCCAGTTAGAGGAATTTATTGCCAAATTAAATTTGGCTCTTTCCCCTACCCGTATAGAAACTAAAGAAGGTGCATTAAAAATGTTTGGACTACTTGTAAAACTCGAGCAATGTCATTAGTCTGTATGTGGACTAGTAAATAGATATTTTCATAAGAGTTTAAATGCTAATATTTGGTGGAAGTCGAGAGTAACTTGTATCCTATCAATTCAAGTATTAGTATGGTTGCACTCCTCATTTGTTCTTTAGACTGATGATACTGGAATCTATAGAGTTTGAGCCTTTACAGCTTACGTGAAGAAATGTTTCAAACATTTCTGGACAAATCTTATTTTGTATTTCTGGAAGAATGTAAATAATCTCCTAGGCCACTTCACACCAATGATCTCAAGGTGAATATCCTTGAGAAACTTGTTTCTTGTTATGCCATTTGACATTTCAAGTCAGTGATCATATTCCTGTGATGTTTAAAACAACTGCATTAAGCTTGTGATAGAAACTATTTTCTTGCTTTTTGGAATATAATTACTTGAATATTGTTTGAGATCACTAACATGCCAGGGCAATTCCCACTGATTTTGATGGTCCAATATAATCTCATTCAGGAGGCTTGAAACATTGATGGTTTAGTCTTGTGAATTTTAACAGTTCTCTTGTCATTGTTTAACAAAATGAACAAGTGGCACAACTCCTTAAGCTGCAGTTTCAGTCTCTGCTAGTTCATACCGCATGTTTATTTTGGACAGTCTTTGGTAAGCATGGTGCTTGTATTGGGTTAAATAAAATGTTAACATGAAAGGACTTCTAGTGCTTCATTCCTAACTGTCTCCCCCTTTGTAGTTACTGATGCCTACCTGTCAGTTTCTGTGAGTCACATGCTTATTTAGCAGTTTATCTTATTTGGGAAATCAAGAAGCAAACAGGAATCCCTAGGCACCTTGGTGGAAGGAGAATATAATGACATTATGAAAATTTATAAAACTTGTGGGTGTGATGGCACACTCCTTTAATTCCAGCACTTAGGGAGGTAGAGGCAGGCAGGTCAATATCTGTGAAATTGAGGCTACAGGAAGACCCTGCCTCAAAAAAAAAATCCCCTCCCCAAAAGAAAATGTATAAAACTCAACCTGCTGCTAAATGATTGATTTGTAGAAAGTGGAACGGTAGTAGAGGCAGAAGGAGTTTGCAGATGGTGAACCTAGGTCTGGAAGGGAGAATTAGAGGTTAGGAGATCTGTGTGCTTCTTAGAAATCCTGTTGGAGGTTATACTATTAGAAATAACATCAATATTTATAAGCATCCATTGAAAACATTCTTTTGGGTCTGGAGAGATGGCTCAGCATTAAGAGCACTGGCTGCTCTTGCAGAAGACTCGGGACCCACATTGTGGCTAATAACTATCTGTAACTCCAATTCCAAGGGCTCCAGCACCCTCTTCTCTCCTCAGGTGTTCCACAACACAGCTGCACATACATACATGCAGGCATAATGTTTGTACACATAAAATAAAAATAAAATTTAGAAAACATCCCTTCTTTTATTTTGAGACAGGGTCTCACTACGTAGCCCTAGCTGGCCTGGAGCTTGTTCTGTAGGCCAGGCTAGCCTTGAACTCACAGAGATCCACCTGCGTCTGCCTCCTGAGTGCTGGCATTAAAGGTGTGCACCACCACACCCAGCTTCATCAGACCTTTTTTACAAGCTATACTACAAGAGTATATGACATAGCTGTCTATTAGAATGGATAAGTGCACATCACTAAAATGCTTTAGAGTTTACCGTGTACTATTTGGTATATTTGTACTAATAGTCACTGTTTGGGTTATGAAAGGAGTAATTAGTGTCTTCCTGTCTTCAAGAATCAATCAGTCTCTTGGGGCTGGAGAGATGGCTCAGCAGTTAACACTGGTAGTTCTTTCAGAAGACCCGGGTTTGAATCCCAGCACCCACATGGCAGCTAACAACTGTCCATAACTCCAGTTCCAGGGGATCCAACAGCCTCTTCTGTCCTCCGCAGGCATTGCCCGACATGGGTGCACTTACCTACATGCAGGCAATATATACATACACATAAAATAAAAATAATAAAATATTTTTTAAAAAAAGAATCTCAAAAGGAGAATTAGTCAAAAGCTGGAAACATATCTTCCTAATTTCTCAAATTTAGTTATTTACTCAAAGAGCCAACTTCTAAATTATTTCACCTTCATTAAAAAAAAAAATCTTACTAGTTTTTTATCCTAGTCAGTTTTCAGCAGCAAAAAGTCTTTGTGAGCATTAACTTCCCAGCCTGGGCCCACTCATTAGCTTGAGGATACTCCCTGAGTGGATAGGGCATCTTGATTTGCTATACTTTAGCTGTGTCTAGGAGCCAATTAGAAGATTGTATTGCCGGTTATCATGGAGTTTCCATTCAGACAGTTTTGAATCACTTGAAATCTGCCCCCAGGCTCTTTGAAAGCTCCTTGCTGAAGTTGCCCTTTCAATTATAGGAAAGAAAAAGCCTCAGTTACCTCCAGAAACCACCCTGACGTGCGTGTGTGTGTGTGTGTGTGTGTGTGTGTGTGTGTGTGAATTTCTGTACAGTTAAGTACAGAATTACAGATACTCTTGTATTTTCCATCTTTTTAGCCTCCCTCTTCCCTGTGCTGGACAACTGCACTGGCTCCTGGGTAAGAGTCTTGCCACATGACGGTGAAAAGGGTCAAATCCACTCTATTGGTTCTGTAGTGACCTCTGCACTAAGGCCCCACTTCACAACACTGGCTTTGGAACTTGAGTCTTCCCTTAGGGAATACATTCAGAATTACAGCAGCAACATCCCTCTGTCAATTCTACCTCCTGGACACATGGGACTCTTACTTCCAACCCCAGGCAGTTAAAACAAGCCAGCCATCAGCTGGTGTTGCCCATCTACTACCGCATATTGGTACGGACCAATCATTCTTTAAACAAGGCAATTAACTGAGAGCTGAATTCGAGAGTGCCATTGTGGGAGAAGAGGCCATATTCAACCCACAGAACAGAGGGGAAGAAGATGTCAGCTGGGGCAGCCTGGAGGGAAGCAGCAGGCAGTGGAGCTGGGTCCTGTTAAGTACTGACCCCAAATTAAAGAGCCACAGTCATGTCTTTTATGTCCCAAGAGTTTCCCTTGATCCAGGGCCATTCTTCAGTGTCTCGCCCCTCTTTCTGAGGCCTGGTTAACCAGATTTTTCTGGATTCCTCTGCGTGTGTTATCAGAAACCCTCCATTACTGAAGTTAACATGGGCAGATGTTTACTTGGGTTGCAAAAGTGCCCAACTGTAATGTCAGCTCTGAGTTCTGCCACTGTTGCCTATATTTACACTAACTCCAGCCTAGCCTACAAACATGCCCTGTGTCTTCCTCTACTAACAGAAGCTTCTGAGGCTTCCACTGCCCACCCAAATCAATGACCTTCAAAAATAATCTCAAATGCTTTTTAAACCACAAAGTGCTGTTTGTTGAGCTAAATAATAGTATTCTTTTTAAAGAAATGTTGAAGCAAAAGGAAGAAAAATGCTTCAACCCAAAGAAATCCATTGTGGCATTTGGTTATATTTTTCCATTTCTGGAGGAATTCTCTGGTCCCAAAGTTTTTCTGGTGACTCTTAAGTATTATGAATTATGGTCACTCAGGTAATAAGGATATAAGTCTGTTTTAATGCCAATACTTTTTAGTTATTTAAAATTACTAGCCTTGCCCTTCCCACCACTCCACCTCATTTTCAGGTATGCATCATGTTGAGAAACCTATAGTAGGGGACAGGAAGTAGTCTTGTCCCTCACTACCATCGTGCCACACTCCTTCAGCACCAATCTAATTATCCCTCTGACTATCAGAGCAGGGCCAATGAAAGGGACTTGAGGGGAAATCTTAATGGGATTGGAGAGATGACTCAGTGGTTAAGAGCACTGTCTGCTCTTGCAGAGGACCCAGGTTCAATTCCCAGCACCCATGTAGAAGCTAGCAACCGTTCATAACTCCAGTTCCAGGAGATTCAATGCATCTTCTGGCCTCTGCTGCCATTGCAAGACATGGGTGCATTTGCTTACGTGTAGGCAAAATATACACATAGAAAAGAAAATTTAAAACAGACTCACTTTGATGCAATTTTTAACGTTCCTGCGTATTTTAACCCTCTCACCTGGATGAATTGTTAGACCATATCTGACTCTAGCCCTCAAGTTCCCTATTCAATAGGTCTGGTGTGAGGCTGGATAATTTCTAACAAGTGCCCAAGTGAAGCAGCTACAGCTGATCAAGGGGCCACATCAGGAACCACTGCTGTAGATAATCTTTAAAGACTTAATTTAGTCAATAAAAGGTGGGCTTACTTATGGTTTTATGCTCATCCAAATCTTTTTAAAATTCTTGTATAAATTGGATGCAGACTCTTCACACTAACACAGTTGTGACTAACAGTACTTTGTGAATTTATAACGTCTCTCTGTAGCCCCAGCTGTCCTGGAACTCACTATGTAGACCAGGGTGGCCTTGAACTCACAGAGATCCGCACTCTGTCTCCCGAGTGCTGGGATCAAATGTGTGCGCCACCACGCCCAGCCCTGTTTTCTTCTTTAGAGAAGAAATTTCCAAACAAAATCTCAGTGACCTAGTTTCAGTGGTAGATCTTTATGTACTTTCTAGAGAGATGCTTCTAAACTGTGTGTGCTCTATCTGCAACAGCAAGTATTGATTAACATGCAAAGTTTCTGCTAAAACAGATCCAGGACACACACACACACACACACACACACACACACACACACACACACACACAGAGAGAGAGTCAGCCCTTGAGATCTGAGGTTAATTGGTTCCAGGATCCTCCCATGGATACCAAAGTCTGGATGCTCAATCCCCTTTTGTGAAATGGTGTAGTATTTGACCTATGCTCAGCCTCCTATGCAAAATCACCTGTAGGTTACTTATAATAACTAATACAGTGTGAATCCTGTATAAATAGCTGTTATGCTGTATTGTTTAGGGAATACTATCAAGAAAAAACTATACATCCTCAATATAGATCTTTTTTTTTTTTTTTTTTTTTTTTTTTTTTTTAAAAAAAAAAAAAAAAAAAAAAAGAGGACGATAAATCTCTCACTATGTAGACCAGGATGGTCTAGAACTCAGAGATCCACCTGCCTCTTTCTCCTGAGAGCTGGGACAAAAGGTGTGTGCCACCACACCTGGCATAGAATGACATTTTTTGCCAAGTATTTTTTTCTCTAGTTGGTTGAATCCACAGCTGTGGAACCCTTGGGATATGAAGGACTAAGTATCTATAAGACAATCATCTATCTCATTTACTATGAAAAATTGGATCACATGATTATGGGTCTGAGAAGTCGCAGGGTTTACCCATAGCTTGCTGGACACTCAGGGAAGCTGGAGATTTAATTTTAATATCAATCCAAGGTTCTGACAACAGGGTAGCCAGTAATGTAAATTGTAATCAAAGATCAGGAGAAAACTGATATTCCAGCTCCAGAAGCAAGCAGAGAACAAAAATGACAAATTCATACTTCTTATGTATGGTCATAGATTTTTTTACTTCTCTTGGAGTTACTTGACTGTATAGTAGTTATTTTTGAACATAGGACTTCTGTGGATTGATTGATGATGCCTGCCTACATGGGGAAGAGCCATATACTGAGCACAGATACGAATGTTTCAGAAACATGCTTAATCTGGAAATTTCTGTCACTAGCCAACTTGACCCCAAAATTAGCCATCACAAGAGCCATAAGATTATTAAGGCCCAAGTTTTAGTTTGTAT